GAGCCACCCAAGGCGCCCCTAGAAAGTGCTATTTCCATATTATAAAGGGGGAACCGAACCAAGACAGGTTAAATCATTTACCCCACCCCCTCCCCCTGGGCTATGCTCACTATGTGATCAATTTAAATGGACAGAATCAAATCTAGTTAAATAAGTGCTACTTCAGACAACATACAAACTGTTGAGCCCTTTGGAGCTATCATATTGCCCATTCTAAAACTGAATCAGAGAGCACATTAGCTTTCCAGAAGGCGTCCATGTAATCTATAGCCAATTGCCCATAGTTAGAAGTTTTATGTTGTTCAGTTTAAAAATGCCAGTAATAAAAGGCAATGATTAAGAGGATAAAAGCTTCAGGAATATTATATAACTAGATATTAAGAATTAGATTGAGATATTAAGAATTATTTCATTAAATATTCAAAGTACGTCATATATGGTGATGAACAGTGGGCTCCTAGATAGGAATTACTCACAGCTCAGCTCATCAGATCCATCCGGACAGTCAGCATGACCATCACAAACTTGCTCCATGGAAATGCACTTCTGACCATCCTTACAGGACTGGGACGGCTCAGAGCATGGGACAGCTTCAACACATTTGCTTATGTTAGCCAAGTAGTGCCCACTGGGACATTTACAAGTCACTCCTTCAGGGTTGGGTAAACACATATGGCGGCAGCCTCCATTGTCTTTTGAGCAGCTGTTACTACCTGTGGATCGACCCCCAAAAAACCCATTGATTTAGATGGTTTCAGAAGGGTCTTTTGCAGATGTTCTATAAATACGCTATCAGAGTTACAGGACCCAAATGTTTTTTCCAGAGTGGATAGCTTTTCAGTATAACTCCTTTTGGTCAACAAGGTACCAAGTGATCGGTGATTCTTCTTCATGGGTAAGGATGGCTTTAGAAGGCTGGGAGTTCAAACAAGGGACCAGCTTAATAAAAATTGAGCTGAACTCTGGCCCATCCAAGACCCCATTGTGAGTTCTCCTTTCCCCTCATACCAAGCACCCAACATCAAAACTAGAAGGGTCTTAGAAATAAAACTCTCTTTAGATGAAAACATGAAGGCTGTGGTGTCTATTATCCCTAAGAATCTGAGTAGTAAGTCAGCCATTTATAGCTGACCGTGGCTCTGCAAGGCTCAGATCTTTAACTTCTAGTAAGGTCTTATTTTGAGATATTCCAGAAATTGTGGAATAGGTATGTATACAGCGCAGATAAAACGGACCTCAAGAGTGGCAAGGACCCTCCTTCTGCCTCTCAGAACTAAGCCACAGATTATCATCACTTGGATGATTAATCACACTGAAGAAGGTTCTCTCCGAAAAGCCAAGACTTCAGAAATTTAAGCATGACTAACACTAGTTTACAAAGTTTAGCTTTCCAAAACAAAGAAATGGAGCAGCATTCACTTAAGACCAATATACTCTACATGGCCGTTAAGACCAATATACTCAACATCCATGGTAGTGGTAGATGTGGTTAACATTTGAGCTCACATTGTTCGTGTTCATCTCGACTAGGAAAAGACTGTATATTATTACTTTAACTAAGCCCATCATCACTCTACTCAAACATTGGAGAAAAACATCTGAGTACCCCCAAGTTGGTATTTCAAGGATTAGTTAACATCACAAGTAGATACAAGTGACAATAAGTAGAATAAAGACTAGTTCCACTGCAGAGCTGAGAGGCAATTTCAATTATACCACAGATGAATTCCATCTACAATAGAACTTAAAATTATACCAGACTCCAGCCCCAAATATTTACCACTGTTTTGTCTCCTAGAAAAGTAACAGGACTCATTACATACCAGAACTATACTATATATAACTGCATAAAGACAAGAGAGTTATGCAGATCTGTAAGAACTTGCCAGAGAAATAATTTAGTGGGAAATACAAAGCCATTTCAAGGAGATATTGCAGGAGACAGAGGATCCCCTTCACGGGGAAATTCAGCAGGCTTCAGTGTTGTTGTAATCATTGCAAAGTTGCTTACCCTGTTGACGAAGTTTACTATAAACTTTTAAATCCACAATCTTCTGGTCTATTTGGAACCACTGGTTTTCTGAAAGTTCTGCCTTGCTGTACCAAACTTTAGTGATCTGGGCTGAAACAAAAGCCAGTGAACAATCATGAAGAGAAGCAAATTTTAAATACTTTTAAGAAAAGCAAATTTTAATTTTAAGACAACTTCCTGTGCAAAGAAAATTGCTCACTATGAAAACCGTCACCCATCTGCAGAAACTCCAGTTGAATAACAAGGGTTTTACAGAAGAGAAATGTGTTTTTCTAAATTTTTTTTTCTGGGAAGAAATTTCAAGACAAAGAAAACTAGTTCTATGCCTTCCTCTAAAATAAAGTGTAAGTTATGTTGAGCATTCATATACATCCATATATACAAAGATAGATAATTAGGACATGAGACACCTAAATGTAGTCCATGCAAATGATAGGTAATGATTTTAAACATTGTTCTAGAACATATATGAAAATGGCTTTCTGCAATAAGTGTCACCAGCGGATTTTAAAACAGTTAGCAAAGGTCTCACCACATACCTAATAAATTAGCACCTCTGGGGGTAGGATCTCACAACTTGTTTTTGCAATTGTGCCCAACTGGTCAATGGACCAGCGTTTGGAAATATTAAAGAGAGAGATTTTAAATAGCATTTTCCAGTTTCACCAAATCTAGACTCTAGCCAGAAACAACATACTAGAACACTGCTGTTTAGGCAAATCTCTTTAAATACTAGTAATACCCTGCAAGTATAGAATATTCTGTAGTTCACCTAGTACTTTTATATGTACTGAGTCAAGTGAGACAGGTACTGTCCTCATTTTACAGGTAAGCTGTTATAGCTACTAACTGACAGTGCAGTTACACTACCTGGTTCCAATTCCTGGCCCAGTTCTCTCGGTACCACATCACAATGTCTAAAGAAGAGCACCTCAGATGAAAGCCAGAAATCTCAGGCAGAACAGGATTAAGCATCTTCATAGATAAAGAACGACCAAATAAGTCAAAGCTTCCCCAAGTCATAGAATCCCTGTTACACATACATGTTAGATTAGGGAAGTTGCTTAATTATTCTTCCAGAAGAAAGACCTTGCCAAAGATCAGTGCTAGGCATTAGCAGATTCGCTTTAGAGACCCAAGAGTAAATTCAGATCACAAAGACAATCAGACGTTGAATAAGACCTACCATCGTCAATTGTCATCCAGAACATCATGCCTTGGCCAAATGTAAAGAGGGTAAGGCCCTCAATTCCTCTGCGGTCCACTCTGTATCTAGAGCCATCTTGTTGAATACTCTCTATGAGTCCTCTCCCTGGAAAGAGAGGCTCAGTTAATTTCACTTAGCCTGCACAGCTCCACTCTATCCTACAGCTCTTTGCATCTTGTCTTGCCTCCCCTCCAGGAGGACATTGTCTACCATGTGTTTTCTGAAGGACAGTTCTTCATTCACTCTACTCTAGCAGTGATACACCAAAGATTTGTTCATGCACATTTGTTAAGTTCTCGATTTTATTCCTTCACAAAGGGACACCTATATGATTCTTCGGGCTATTACATTCTACTCAGAATGGGGAATCACTGGGTTTGTTTGGAAGGTGGTGTAGAATATGCAAACTCAGACCTAAAAGCTGTTTGAAGTCATGGCTGAAGACCAGAACGCAGAACGTCACTACTTCACTCTGGTCAAAGTCCTTCAGACTCGCGGTTAGGGTGTGTTATAATTGCTTACCAGTATCAGCCCAGTAAACTCGGGTTCCTGAATCCGAAAAGGTCAGGCCCTCAGGGACCTGGGATTTCTGCCACAGCACCTTCCTCCTGCTGCCGTCCATGGAGGCACATTCAATGCTGGACCCACGCCTACCATCATCCTGGGCACCCAGGTCCACAAAGCACATGACTGCAGAGGGTGGGTGCAGCGCAACAGAGGTTGGGCGGTAGAGATTTTCACTGACCAGGACAGTGGGATACTGGCCTTTTGAGGAAGCTACCTTGATGTGAGGATTCTCACTGTCAATCCAATATATGTTTCCACTCAACCAGTCCACAGCAAGGTCGATCACTGTTCCCTCCACAGATATGATTTTCCTCCAAGAGAGTTTTCCAGATTCTTTGAGCCTCAGTAGCCTGATATCACCATTATCCAACTCTGAAAGGTAGAGAGCCTTTTCCTGGACTATGTAGTCCAAGGATGCAAGCTGTTTCACATTGGTAAAGGGAAGTATCCTATGTTCGGGTAAAGTTGGTTGTCCTAGTAAAGCTTCTAGATTTTTCAGATAAATCTATGGGGAAAAAAATTAGGTGGATGGCACCAGCTGAATCTAGTGTAATTCTTCATCTTAATTTTGCATTAATGTGACAATATTTAGAATATATGAAAACCTGAATTTATCATCTAAAAAGAGATAGCCATTATTTCTCTCCCTTCCTGGAGTTTTAAGCACCCAAAAGTCCTTGAATCCACATGTTTCAAAGATTGACTCCTTTGTTAAATGCCCTCCCCTTTCTTTTGTAAGTGTTTAAGCTATCATTGACATAATAACATTTGTCTAAGTTTAAGGTGTACAATGTGTTGTTTGGCTACATTTATATATGAAAGGCCCTCGCCTTTAAATGAAACTCTACTAGTAGTATCTTACTGAAACTGAAGTCAATCCTCCAACCCCAACATTTGTCATTTTAAAGTGCCCAAGTTGATAAGTCCTCTATATAGTAGAAGTTAGAAGTGACTTGTTTGTTGGTATCTCCTATGACTTAAGAAAAGCTCCCTCATAAAATGTACTTCCCCCTCACCAGGCTAGAACCCAGCTGAGTTGCTTGGATTTAGAACTACTCTATATCATCAGTGAGATGCTTGGACAACTACACTAGATGAACCATATCTCAGATCCCTAACCTAGCTCTGGCATACTAGTTCTCAAGGAGTCTTTAGCACATAGCCCCTTTATTTTGGTCACGATAGCTCCCAGCACACAGTAAATACTAAAATTTAAGTTGTTTTTGAAGAATATTCCGGGGGAGGGGGGGCGGGGTGGGGGGAGCGCCTGGCTGGCTTGATCAGTAGAGCATGCAATTCTTGATCTTAGGGTTGTGAGTTTGAGACTGACGTTGGGTGTGGTGATTACATTAAAAGGATTAATTAAAAAATTTAAAAAAAAAGACTACTCCAAGGGCCAGGGCCCTTACTATATATCACTGTGCCTGGAGAATTCTAATTACTCAGTTCTGAAACAGACCACAGCCCAGGCACAGACATGTGAGTAAGGCTACGGAACAGTACCTGCATGATAACTGTGGGCAACATGAGGAACAGAAATGCAGACTCCTCGAGCGGAACACAGGTGATGCCGTCATCCGCCAGCAGGAGTCCCACTGGGCAATGACAGCTCCCCTTGGATCGCGGGCTCAGAAGGCACAAGTGAGAACAGCCAGCATCCAGACAAGGATTTGGAGACTTGGGCTGGAGCACTTCGTGCATTATCTGCAAGAGAGTAGCTGGATGTCACTATGCATTCCTGAATCCTTACAAACAGCAAATGAATAAATCTTGCTTTTTAATCATGATGGAAGGAGGTCAGCTACAGTTTGTACTTGGGAAGCTCATACACGTAGCCTTTTCCGGGAGAATTAGGGGGATATTTTGAAGAGTACACGGTAGACCTTGAGTCCATGAGGCTGTTGGGAACGCTTGATGAGGACAGCTCTGTTCTTGCCTGTGGTCTTCTTCATGCGCTGTACCGTTCGCGTCTTCATCTCAGACCAGAAGACTTCATCTTCGAACACAGCGACTGAAAAGGGGCGCTTGATTTGCGTTAGCTGCAACATCTAAAATGGGGATGATGAGGTTTCTGGGATGAGTTTGTACAAGGCATAAGACATCACACACAGCCTAATACCAAGGAATACTTACACGAACACCAGTACCATCCAGATTAGCAGAGCCAATACAGTGAAATTTGTCATCAGACCAGAATATCTTCCAGCTCAACCGGTCGAGAGCTAGGCTGGTTGGCCAGCCAAGACCTTGACTGACAAGGATTTTTCTGCTGCTACCATCCATCCCAGCTTGTTCTATTTGAGGTTCTCCTCCGATTTCAGACCAGTACATTAACCTGTGCGGATAAAAGTCAGCTTTAAAGTATTACCTCACAGACAATATCGATTCATCCCTTAAACCACTGATTTCTAACCCAATTATTTTTTCCTCAAACTTGGTCTATTCCTTAAGTGAAACTGTGAAGTAAAAGAGAGTTTCCCTTGAAATCTTATGATGCTTGTTTAGTCATCACTTGGGAATAAAATATCATGACAGTTATAAGCAGCCAAGGAATACAGTAGTTCCTGGGCCTGGAAAATAGCCAGGGAACCTGCCAGTCTCTCCTGGCCTAGAGAGAGCAGGCTGGTTCTATGGGAAGATGTGCACCTCGGACCTTAATACTGGTCACAGCCAAGGCCATTAGATGCCTCAGAAACTACTGTCAATTTTCTGAGGACCATGGTAACAGATTCCTGATTGTAGGCATTGAAAAGGTGAGAAAAGCAGATAGAGCGTACCCAATCTGGGTCACCTTTCGGTCCTAAGTTTTGCTCCATCTTGTTCTTACATTTGACACACACATGGCCACGCCAATGAGGGCTTGGCTCTGACAGCTAGGAAATGTTGTCTCTAAGTTCCTGGCCTTTTCCAAAGAGAAAGGATTCTGGATCAAGAACCTAGATTCAACCACAACACACAATTATTTCCGCCACTACTACCAAGCACATTAGTGTAAATTAAACACTACGCTGGGGCGCCTGGGTGGTTCAGTCAGTTAAGCATCCGACTCTTGATTTCAGCTCAGGTCATGATCTCACGGTCCTGGGATCAAGCCAGGCGTCGGGCTCTGCACTCTGTGGGGAGCCTGCTTGAGGATTCTCTCTTTGCCCCTCCCCCTGCTTGCACTTTCTCTCTCTCTCTCAAATAAATAAATCTTAAAAAAAAATAAATCCTATCCCTAGTTCCATTCTCCTTCCTCCTGCCATTTAAAGCCACAAAAAAAT